TTCCTTTGTTGCTGTTTATTTCAACAGGAAGCCCTGGCGGCTGTTGGTTAACAGAAGACGTCTTTTGTTAGTGATCAGGTGGCTCCAGCTCACCACAATCACAATCAAAGCTACCGTCCATCTTACTCTGATAAAACCTGGAGGATGAGAAAAAAGAAGGAAAAGAGTCACCACCAGGAAATACTAAATACTCTTCTCTTCAACTTTGTAAAATGACACAAATTGGGCAGTTAGCTATAAATGACTACTGGTACAGAACTTATTTATTTATAGTTACTAAATGGAAAGATGACCCTCAATCAAAAATAGCTATCCATGCTGTAAGCAATTCACATGTACCAGGCTGAGACTCTAGATCCCACATTAGATTCTTTGTATTTATGGTCAGTGGGTTGTATCATTTCTTAAAGGCCAAAGAGTAAAGCAAGGAAGGTTCACAGTATTTTTACAGAACTCTTTAGAATTTGAGCAGTACTGTATTACTACCATTTCTCTTAAAAAAAAAAAAAAAATATATATATATATATATATATACACACATATAACAAGACTGCAATGTGTTACTTCCTTAAAGAACATGTTTACTTATTAACTACACCAGTAAACAGTGAACAAAAATCAGTACAAATAAGAAACCTACAGCGTATGCTCTTCAATTTACAATAGCGTGAAATCAAACAGTGACTAAACCAATGAAAAGGTGTCTGGCTTCATCGATAATCAGAAAAATCAAACCGCCTCAAGAAGATACATTTCAGATTAGAAAAAAACATTTTTAAGAGTCTGTTACTATCAAGTCTGAGGAGGAATGTGGAAAAACAAGAACTTTCATACAATACTGGTGAGTTTAAATTAGTAAAAGAATGGCAAAGAGCAATTTAGAATAAATAAATGCATAAATAAGTAGCATACCTATGACTTAGCTATTTTTCCTCCAAAAAACACTGTCTAGAGAAATACTTGTAAATGAACATACAAATGCCCACTTTTTTGTAACGGCAAAATGTTTTAAAAAAAGCCTAAGCTTTCAACAATTTGAGGATAAATGAATTTTATTTATAGAGTGCACTATTACATAATAGTAAAAATGAACAGAGATGGTTGAAATCACCATACAATAAATTTAAAAGGCAAACTGCAGATAGAAATGTATATGCTGGGGCACCTGGGTGGCTCAGTCATTAAGCGGCTGCTTCTGGCTCAGGTCATGACCCCAGGGTCCTGGGATCAAGCCCCGAATTGGTCTCCCTGTTCCCTGCTCCTCTGGGAAGCCTGCTTCTCTCTCTCCCACTCCCCCAGCTTGTGTTCACTCTCTCGCTGTCTTTCCCTGTCAAATAAATAAAATCTTTAAAAAAAAAAAAAAAAAAAAAGGAAAAAAAATGCACATGCTGAAACCACTTACTTCAGGTTTATAAGCATGTATGATGTTATTTTATGAGTGCATATATAAATGTGGCAAAAGTATTAAAAACATATTTGGCTGTTAAGTACCAAATTCATGATAATCATTGCTTTGAGGAATGAGGGAAGCAATTACCATAAGGGTGGGATTACACAGTATGCTCCAACTACATCTTTAATGTGTTCTTTCTTTTTTTTTTTTTTTTAAGATTTTATTTATCCATTTGAGAGAGTGTGAGTGACAGAGAGCATGAGAGGGGAGAAGGTCAGAGGGAGAAGCAGACTCCCCGTGGAGCTGAGAGCCCAATGCAGGACTCAATCCTGAGACTCTGGGATCATGACCTGGGCCAAAGGCAGTTGCCTAACAAACTGAGCCACCCAGGCGCCCCTTTAATGTGTGTGTGTGTGTGTGTGTGTGTGTGTGTGTGTGTGTGTTTGTTTTTAAAGATTTTACTTATTTATTTGACAGACAGAGATCACAAGTAGGCAGAAATGCAGGCAGAGAGAGGAGGTGGGGAAGCAGGTTCCCCACCGAGCAGAGAGCCCAGCACGGGCTCAATCCCAGGATCCCAAGACCATAACCTGAGCCGAAGGCAGAGGCTTAACCCACTGAGCCACCCAGGCGCCCCTAATGTGTTATTTAAAGAAAAAATTGTGGAAGTATGACAAATTATTAGAATCTCATAGAGCTCAGAGGTATGTATATGAAGAGATCAAATCAGTGTGAGAAGACAGGCTGACAAATAAGCAAAACAGATATCAGATGGCAGTAAGTGATGTAAAAAAATAAAAGAGAAAGAGCCCAGGAGAGTGGTTAGGGAATGCCTCTAGTAAGGTGGTACTGGGAGCAAAGCTCTAAAGTTTGGGTGGGTCTCAGGGGTGCTATGTGGGAGTAACTGCTATGGACAGAGGGGCTAGCACATGAAAGCCAGAGGGTGAGTATGTGCCTCATATCTAAGAAATAACTAGGTAGTCAACATAGTACTCATTTAAGTGTACATGCCCATAAGCAAATAATACAGCCTAAACCTTAAATGGAAAGGCTTCTTGTTGCTGGTTTTTTAATCTAAAAACTGGTATAGGTGTATATATATATATAGTGTTATATTCTGATTGGGTCTGAAGAAATTGGAAGTGGGACAGGTGCAATATTCATTTATTCAAAGGGTTAATCATTTAAAGGCAATGAGAAACTGTACCAAGACATGAAATAAAGCAGCACACTCTGAACTTGAATTATGTGACAACTTTCAATCACCTTCAGATTTGGCTTAAGAGAACTGCTAGGACTCTCAAACTCATCAGCTGTTTTCACAAGGGTGAAGCTTTTATACAACAAGGAATCTGCCTTTATTTCCTTCCTGCTACATATTCCCACATAACTCGCATGTGGAAATACAAGAATCTGAAAAATACAAGGTATAACAGCTACTTGCCACAAACTGAGCAAATCTCCAACTTCAAGAAATCCACATCCATTACAACTATGTGACAGAGAAACATATGATATGGATAACTCAGAGACTAAGTAGATACAAAATCCTTAAGGCAACAGCTTTTTAAAAAGATTTATGAGAGACAGAAAGTGCACATGCAGACGCCACAAGAGAGAAAGTGGGGAAGGGCAGAAGGAGAGAACCCCAAGCAGACTCCCCTAACGTCAGGCGTGGAGCTAAATCTCAGGACCCTGAGATCATGACGAAAGCTGAAATCAAAAGTCAGACACTTAACCAAATGAGCCACCCACTCGGCCTGGCTACAGCTTTATTTAATAAAAATTGATATTTACTATTGTTGAGTTCTTTTAATAAATATGAGCACTTCTTGTATCTGCTTAACATTGTAAAGGACATTAACAGCATAACAGCTTTCTTTGTTTTACTCTAACAGACAGTTTCTTCTGTTTGCGAGTTTTTGTCTGCTTCTCAAGGAAAAAAAAAACTAACTCAAGGAAAAAAAAAAAACAAGAGAACTCCTAAAAATTCTCTTAGTCAGTCTGTATAAAACATTTAAAAGTTAAATTTTGCAAATAAACTTTTGAATTAAAATATTTCGGGGACACCTAGGTGGCTCAGTGGGTTAAGCCTCTGCCTTCGGCTCAGGTCATGATCTCGGGGTCCTGAGATCGAGCCCTGCATCGGGGTCTCTGTTCAGCAGGGAGACTGCTTCCCCCCTCTCTCTGCCTGCCTCTCTGCCTACTTGTGATCTCTGTCAAATAAATAAATAAAATCTTTAAAAAAAATATTTCAGACTTTTAAAGGACTTTAATGAATACTGTCTCCCCTTCCCAATTCTTCTATTTGTATACACCTTGATGTTTCCAGTTGCCTACCAAATGTCCCTTTAAAAACAGTATTTTTTAAAGTCTCCAGTATTTCTGGGATCTTACATTTCTAGTCTCCATCTGAAACAGATGTTTGTTCATACAAACATGCACGTGCATGCATACTTTCTCTCTTTTCTGTTCTTGCCCTTCCGTGACCAATCCCTTAAACCTCAACTTTTAGGTTTTTGATAAATGTACATTTTAAAGTCAGTTCTACAGACTTGACATAAGAACATTAAAATCTCTAAGTACTCTCTTAAGCTTCTAGTTCACTAGCGGAGCAATCATAGTCAAGCACAAATAATTTAGCTTTGCTAAAAAGGACACCACTATTATTTGACTATTCGCACTATTACGGAACTGCAGCCAGATTACTGGAGAGAGGTAAGAGAATGAGAGCTCTACTCAAGACTTCCACCCACATCTGCTCTCTTTAAATTACAGTGAAACCAAGAAGAATCACAGACCAAAAACTACAAGGATGACAATACTTTTTCAGAAATCTCTGTGACTGGTCAGCACTCAACAGGGGTAGAGTAGGTAAAAATCCACCTTGGGGAAGGCAGGAACTTGTGCCTAGGCTGAGAACTGCAGAGTCCTCATTAAAGATTCAGGTGATGACTATATTGAAAGACTTGAACAGACTTTTCAGAAATACAAGACTATTCTAAGAAAGAAAGGAATATTAATCACCAAACTGTAACTCTAGGTCAGAATTATGCCAATAAAAAGTTGGGGGTGGGGGGTGGAGCAGACCAATAGCAATGCTTGCCCAATGGTATGCCTCACTGCTCTGCACCATTCTTCAAAATCCTTCAATAACTATTAGACCAAAAGCTACTGGACCACGTTTTCATCCAGGAGCTTGGAAAGTAAGCCCACCTTAAGCAGTAAGTTGAAGGCAATGTTACACTGGTGTATGATGAAGTGGATCCAGTGAATGTTTCCAATTCAGTCATGCTCCATTCAGCAAGTAGTTGCTAACAATGTTATATACCTGTTAATACACTAGGTACTGGGAATAAAATGGTAAGTAAAAACAGACTTGTGCCCTGCCCTCATGGGGTTTACAGTATGGCTTTTGCCTCCCCCCTTTTCTTCTTATTAGTTTATAAACAATAATAAACTAATAAGAAGAAAAGGGGGGAGGCAAAAGGGACAAGTGGTACTAAGGAATGGTACAGGATGCTGAGAGCCTGCACACTGGGGGATTTGACCCAATTAGGGAGATCAGAATGTATGCCTCTGGAAGCCATAAAAAGGCTTAGTGACCATGAAGATCCTCCTTATCACCCTGATACTGGACTGTGAGGTGTCCAACTACCTTCCACTTCCCACATCCATCATGGAATTCTTGGGCCAGACTCAAGTATGCAGATACAATTCAAGTGGACCAGCAGATTACTAGTCAAGCACACTCCATTTGAATCAGCAACCTAGAAATGTCCCATTTAAACCACTTTCTCTATTATCTTTGACATTTAACTTCATTAAAACAAGTTCAAAGAAAGATCTGGGGCTCCATATTCCTTTTGCACTTCCACACACTTCAAGGGAGGAAAACAGTAACTAAGATGAGACAGTAACTTAAAATAACCCTTCCCAGCATCCAGTTTCTCTGCCTCCAAACCTCAGTGCTGATACTGTGTTGCTTGCAGAGGGATCCTTACTTAAATTTTAATTAGCTGGGCCAATGTTTTGCTTTTAATAATGGGGTGGAAAAAATGAATTATAGGGAATGATTTATAAAAATAAAGTTGGCTTGGGTGCCTGGGGGGCTCAGTCGGTTAAGTGCCCAACTCTTGATATCGGCAGAGGTCATGATCTCAGGGTCCTGGGATTCAGCCCTGAGACACACTCTGCACAGCGGGGAGTCTGCTTGGGATTCTCTTTCCCTCTGCCCCTCCCTCCCTCGTCTCTCCCTCTCCTTCTCTAGTGCATCTTCTCTCAATAAAGAAATCTTTTTTTTTTAAAGATTTTATTTATTTATTTGAGAGACAGAGAGAGCATGAGAGGGGAGAAGGTCAGAGGGAGAAGCAGACCCCCATCAAGCGGGGAGCCTAACACAGGACTTTATCCTGGAACTCTGGGATCATGACCTGAGCGGAAGGCAGTTGCTTAACTAAATGAGCCACCTCAACAAATAAATCTTAAAGTCCTCAATAAATAAATCTTAAAAAACTAATAAAGTTGGCTTTATGCTTTCCCCTTTGGCTTTCTTTCCACCATAAAATGGAAGTAAAAGTTTTCTATGTGGCACAGTCTGGGCTTCCTACGTTTATAACGCAGTTCCCTGAAACTGCATTAGCCACACTGGTCTCCTCAAGCACTCCTTTCCTTCCTTAATCACCACCTGCTTTCTGTCACTGAGCCTACCTCCAAGCCAAGAGAAATGCAGGTACTCTGAGTCAAGTCTAAGTATATTCAGTAAAGTTATAAAATGCAAAAGAAAGAAGATAGTAACTTCACGCCGTTTCTCCATTCTGAAGAAACTGGGTTTTCCTTCCCTTCTTATCTAAGAACTACTTGGCCGCATATCAGAAAAGGAGTCTGGATGTGCAAAGCAAGTTTGAGGTGAGAGCCTTAAACATAAACCTTACTTACCTGGTTTTCTCCTCCATCTTCCACCCGGCCGCTTATCAGGTTAAATGTTGACATGGGTCATAGGGCCTGATCACATACACTGACAGCTCTCCACCTCCCCACTCCTCAATGGCTCTTGCCTATTTTGCTCTTCTCCCAGGTCAAGTGAGTAACTTGAGTTAAATGGAATCCAGCCAGCCTCACATCTACTCAGCCAGAATCCAGTTGCTTTTGGAGAGAAGGGCAAGGTTGAGCTCTACTTAAATTCACATAGGACTATCTCTTAACCCTGGCACAGAGAGGTGTTGTTATAGCAAATTCATCCTTCCCTAAGATCATATCTCAAGCTCTCACCAAAGTTACTAAATTTCTAGGGCAGAGAAGGCCAAAGGCTACAGTTTAACTGCGTGTTCAGATGCATTCTTGACAATGCCCTTGTTCCTAATGTAAGGTAGCCCTTATAGTTATCAGAGATCCTTCTCAGGATATGGACCTCAAGGAGGCTCATGATGTAAACAATGTCAATGAATGATCTTAGTCATCTGGAGTGAGAAAAGGGACCTTGAAACTCAAACACCAAAGTCTAACAAGGCCTTGCCTGCTACTAGTAACCAGTGTGTGCAATAGAACAAACTTAGGAAGTCAAAGAAAGGATTGTTTGGCTTCTAACAAAGTATCCAAAAACGCTTCTACTCCCCAAAAAACTCTTCCACTCCCAACTTCTGTTCTTAAATTGTCTGAACCTTTGCCTAAATACATGTTAACATTAGGGACTTGCATTTGCCTTTGACTGTTTAAAAAGCCAGTATGTGGGATGCCTGGGTGGCTCAGTCAGCTAAGCGGCTACCTTCGACTCAGGTAGTGATCCCAGGATGAGCATCGGGCTCCTTGCTCAGCGGGGAACCCACTTCTCCCTCTGCCTCTGCCTGCTACTCTGCCTGCTTGTGCTCTCTTTCTGACAAATAAATAAAATTTTAAAAAGCCATTATGTTCATTTTGATGCTCATCTCTAGTTGCTATTTCTTCTAGGGTATCTGTATTAGAATATAAAGAACTCCACAGATGAGATAAATTGGTCAAAAAATCTTTAAGGACCCTTCCAATTCTCAGTCTATCATCTATGAAAGCCCCGTACAAGTCTTTTACTTCACTGGTCATTTGTTTCCAAGCACTTATTACGGTGGTATGCCCAGATTGGGGGATATGTGATTCAAACTGCTGTATATTAAACATTAGACAAACACAATCCTCTCTATATATTTATGTCTAGAAATTTTAAAATAATTATAATAACCCTTCATCCCCTCTCTTATCTTTCTCCTGCCTAAGCCCTCATTTCTAAGACTCCTCTCCTAACTCATGTTAAGGAAACACTGGTGCATATATATAAACAGGAGACATGTGGGCAGCCTCCTTCTTCAAGTATCTTTGGCCATATGAGGATTCCAACCAGATGAAAATATAAATTTCTGTAGCAGTCAGGATAGGTTAGAAAATTTCAGAGTTAACAAATAACCCCCCCAACATCTACTGACTTACAAGAGAAGTTTTAAGTCTTGCTAATGCAACAAGTCCAACACAGCTGTCATGCAAGTTGTCAAAGTAACTACTAGCTCTGCCCACTGCAAAGAAGTGGGAATATTTCGCTGCTCTAAAGCTTCCATCCAAAACACACTTCACTTCTGCTCACCTTTTACTGACCAAGGCAGATCACATGGTCACACCTGCTTCAAGGGAGTAGGAAAATGCAATCCCAACATGGTTTCAGTAGCAAAAAAACAAGATGTTCTGAACAGCTTTGACTAAAACAGCTTCAATTCTACTATCCATCCATTTTTACTCTACAAAACCTTGCTGAGTGTTTATCATATGCCAGATGTTGTTTTTGGCATAGTATAGCAGGGGTCAAAATAGGTTAAAAAAACAACAAAAAAATCACACTGACCTCATGGAGCACAAACTCCTAGGTCATTGTAGTTAATTCCTCTCTGTCCCACTAACTTCTTCCTCCTCTCTTTTCTAATACTATTCTCCTTCCCTGTCTTAGGCCATTCTTCCCTCGTCTAGTCTAATCTCTATTCTTCAGGTGCCTCTGCTCTTCTAGGGTACCATTTCCCAGGGCACCACCTTACCACTTTCCCCTCCTTCCGCTTTGTTGTATGTAACTCTATTTTAAAATAAAAAGTTTGAGGGATGCCTGGGTCGCTCAAGTCAGCTAAGCGGCTGCCTTCGGCTCAGGTCATGATCTCAGGGTTTTGGGATTGAGATCTGCATCAGGCTCCCTGCTCAGCAGGCAGCCTGCTTCTCCCTCTCCCTCGGCCTGCCGTTCTCCCCGCTTATCCTCTCTCTGTCAAATAAAATCTTTTAAAAAATAAAATAAAATAAAATAAAACGTTTGAGGGGCGCCTGGGTGGCTCAGTCAGTTGAGTGTCTGACTCTTGATTTCAGCTCAGGCTGTGATCTTGGTGTCATGGGATCAAGCCCCACGTTGGACTCCACACTCAGCATGGAGTCTGCTTGAGTTTCTCAGCATGGAGTCTGCTTGAGTTTCTCTCCCTCCAGCCCTCCCTCTACTCTCTCTCTCTCTCTAAGTAAATAAATCTTTTTTAAAAAATAAATAAAAGATTTGAAACTCAGTTGCTTTAGTAATACTTTCTGAGCATAGTACCTGGGTGCTTAGTAGGCACTTTTTATTAACTGTACTAACTGAATTAATGTAAACAGCATATTTTATTTGATAGTAAAACATTCTGGAGAAAACAAGCTCTAGCCTCAACTTCCTCAGAATCTGCTCACACTTTGACCTACTGGGGGAACATCAGTGATGACTCCTAGATATGGTACTTTCCTTTCCAGGAATTCCCCCCAGGAGTTTCACTGTATGGTAAACACATAGATTTGTCAATATGTGAAGAAAGCAAGGATTTCAACTAACTCAGACTGAAGAAAAAAAAGAAAAGTTCAACTTTGTTATAGCTCCTGTTTTATTCTGTTGAGGTAGTAAGAAGGGATTATGCCACTGAAATAGTGTCTTATATTAGCAGACAAGCAGGATTCTATAAAAAGTCCCATTAGCCCATGTGATACCAAGTAGGTATCATGAAGATATGTGAGACCTTGACATTATTCTGATTATTCTTCAGTCCATCCTAGCAGGCTCTATGGCATTTAGCACCACTGCTTTCCAGACTGCACACCAAATATAACTGCTGTCATTTTTCAGCTAACCCTAGTGAGGGTATGAAGAATGCCACAACATGCAAGGCCATCCATACAAAATATTTCTGGACTCTCATCAAAGGGAGAACCACATGCTTTATTGGTGAGTACCCAATTTTTTTAAAAAATGAATCAGAATAGCATATAACTTTCCTGGAATATCCTTCTTCCTTTGTTTCTCATTTTCTTCAAGGCTGAACAAAGCTTACAAGATTAAAAAAAAAAAAGTGTAAGTTTCCTATCAGATTCACACTGAAGTTTCATATTACCGAAATATTCCTCTCTGATTTCACTAAAACCATATTAAAAGGGAAAAAAATGAGTTAAGGAGATGTGACATCTAGTCCAGGGTCCATGGCTAAATTAGCTTATAATCAAAGCATTTCTAGGCCTCAGTTCCTCATCAGGAAAATGATGTAGCTAAACTACGTGACTTCTATGGCCTCTTCCAGCTCTAAAGTTTTATCATTTTAATGAAAAGTTCAGGATTTCCACTTCTGATTAGAATGCAGAAAAATTACAAAACACCATTACTCACACCATATAACATGATAAGACAGATAACCT